ATTGTAGCCCCCTAGGGTCACGTAGACGCCCATTATCACCACCTTAACGGGTAAACTCCAAAGTGATGGTCTGAACATGTTGGTGATTTCTATTTTGCAACATCAAGGCTTCCTTCCGATTATTGTTCTACATCATATATAGGAAATAAGCCTATGAAAGTTCTCTTATATCATAAAGACCAACAATTGACTTTAAAATGTGTCTGTGTCATAGAAAATTCAAAACATTTAGGAGTGAGGTAACCAGACACGAAGTGATTAATGAAAGTTCAATGGAATAAGGCCGAGGGCCACCGTAGTCTGTATCGGTCGTCTCTGAAGAAGACAATGATAAAAGATGAGGTTCCCAATGAAATGTGAATAATCAACTGTCTGTCGGAAGACAGATGAGTGGTCTAGGGTAGGTTTGTGCATGCACCGGTGGACAGGATGTGGCAACTTCTACTCAGGATCTGAATAAATTCAGTCTTGAACCTATGAAGATTGTTCAGAGTATTTGAGTGACTAGGATTGATTTCTCAATTGATATCACATTTGAGGTAGGAGACTTATCTTTGATTATTGTTCTCTTTCTCACATGAACCTTCTGCTTTCTCTCTCTTATAGTTTTCACTCACTCACTTCCTCACTCTCAGCTTTATCCATTGGGTAGACTTAGTTAGGTTTACTAAGTCATTGAGACTTGTTTCTCATTGATGTTTTCTTTCTTTTCTCTCTGTGCCCCCCTTAACTAGAACACTAGGTATGCTTTGTCTTTGTTTGGCATCGGGGATGAGAAAACTGAAGCCCCCCTAATATTTGCATTCCTGAGATAATCCTTGCGTTGTACATTGTTTAGCGCCATGAGGAGAAAAATGAAAACTCCCCCTCACAATGTGCAAGTGGTGTTGTTTGTCACATGGGAAGTAGAGCAGAAAACTCTCCATTGAAATGTGATTTCTTTCTTGTAAGGCATCATGAGGAGTGAAAAAGAAACACTTTCCTCAGAATATGCACGTGTTGTTTGACGTGTTTTGGGTCCTAAGATGCTAAGAGGAGAAAATGAACCCCCTCTGAAGTGTGTATTTGGTGATTTTCTGCTCAATGAGGTGGTATACATGCCAATACTCCCCTTCATAATATGCACTGGTTGATTGCTCATAACTCGTCATACCCCGCCACGTGTGTGGAGCAATAAGATCAGATACCACACATGACAGACCTGCATATGGCTAAGAAACCTTTTGTACCCATTTCAAGGTGAGTTTATCCCTTTTTTAGCAAAACAAATTTGAAATTTTTGTTTTATTTTTGCTCTTAAAGCAGTCTCTTTTTGCGTAAAAAACCAGTCTCTTTTGAAGCTTTGGAAGAGCTACATGAATGTAGTTTTGATTTAGGAACCCATTTTTGAGTTATTTCAGCTGTGGGAGAATTTTCAGCGTAGGTGAATGATGGCATGAAATTTCGTAGAATCTGCAACCTGCGATTATAAGAGTTTCTCCAGCAGCAAGATTTCGGCGGATTTTGGTCCTTTCCTTCCAAAAGTCGTAGAATAACGTCAGTGACAGATCGATCAAATCTCCAAAAGAGTTTTTTAGTAGCAGGTCTTCTTCATCAATGGTAGGTTCGAAAAATGCGGATAAAATCGACATGTTTCATGCCTCGGCTCTGATACCAATTGATAAAACAGTTTCCAACAATTAAACTATGATACAAACATAATAGGGAAGAAATAAAGCTCCGATTCAATACTAGAATGATGAAGAATTTCAGTATAGGGTATGAAAACTTCTACTGCTCTCTATTCTCTGTGAATATGTGTGTGAATGCCTACTCTTCTACATACGATTCTTAGGGTTTATGCGCCTAGCCTCAGACTTTATAGGTCTAAGGGTTAGACCCGTTACAATATTAGCCTATGAAAAAGACATACAAGCCCTAATATAAAGTTTCTCATTGTCTATTAATTAAATTGTCACAACACAAACACACATATATAAAACATAATTGGACACCATAAAAATTCTCTAACAGATTCGAGTAAAGTAGACTAATCGAACCAAAACATCATGTTAGGGTGTTTAATTGCAGACTGTAATTTATGATCTAGTCTGGTCTAGTATATGTATGTCTATGTGTATTTTACTACTAATGAAGTCTATTCGGGTTTGCTTATGTCTGGTATGGTCTAGTCTGATATTGAAACTAGTCCAATTAAAAACATCTTTATACTTAATATTGTTGCCGATATGAGAAAACTTGTGTTGAACGCAAGAATAAACATTGAAAGAAGTATGAGGCACATTTTACATAATCAAAGTGCCATTATCACCGTCACTTTCTAAAGGAAGCAATTATCGGTCTCGGTAATGGTGTGCTTTGCAATGAGCATTGAAAAAAGTCAAGACCAACCATTATATGAGGTTGGATTGTTTTTTGAGAAAAATGCTTTTAGACACAATCAATTGTATGTTACTCCCTATACATCGAGGATCAACACAAACAATGGAGTAAAGATATTAACTCTCTCTCAAAGAATAAAGTTTTTCACAAGATAATAGATATCATTTATGAAGAAGTTTTCAAAATTGTAGAAAGATATGTAATGTTTCAAAATCTTTTTAAGTCTTCATTATTCTATGATTTTGTGCGTTGTCCTTTCGTAATTGATAAATTGGGATATAATCCATCATATTTGCAAATTACAATTGCACTATTTTATAGACATAACCCTTACGTATATAACGTATTAAAAAAATTGATCTCTCTCAACACCTTGACACAATATTATTCAGTGTTTAAACTAGATCATATATTAAACCATGCTAGATTATATTTCATAATCACGCCAAATTAAAAGACATAACTAAAAGTAATTAAAAAAATACTTGGTATACACAATAGCTTATACTCCATTTACACATTTAAAAATATTAAATTTTAAAGGAAACTAATGTCTTGCCACGTACAACTAATGATTGTCCAAAGACAATTTATGTATGTTAGTTAGTCTACTACAAACATTGGCATGCACATAAATTATACAAACGAGTTTCAAACTAATACTATGTATATGTGATCGTGTAAAGTAATCTCTTTGTTCACAAACAATACTTATCTATTTAAATAAGCTACGAGCTTTAAAGAAGATTTTCTTCATACATATGAAAGTTATTTATATGCGCTACAAACCAATGTCTTTTTGTGAAACACCTACACATATTTTCCTTTGTGTGTTTCTTCGCATAGACATAAGTTGTGAGTGAGATAATGTTTATCTTGTAATCCAATTCAGATTCGATGCATATATAACGTTTTGCTTCCGCCCCCTAAAATTGAAACATGAGGTAGTTATGTAACTACTAAAATATGAAGAAAGTAATAATTGACTACGATAACACAAATTTTATTGAACGTGTTACAAGATAAATCTAGAGTGTCAAATAGAAAAATAAAAAGCGAAATTTACTCGAAAAACTAAATCATGTTGAAAGTGTAGAAGTTAGAATGAATGAAAAATGTCTCTATTTAAAAGGATCATTTATATTAGCACCTCATCGAGAATGTCATCATGACCACATTATTATATCGTTATCAAGTCATAATGTCATCACTGTGCTAAATTATAAACATCAAGTCAAATTGTCATTGTCAAACAGTAATGTCATCCTCACAACAAAACAAATGCCATCACAATAGATGTTGCATTGACCTCCTTAAACTACTAGCAAAAATGATATCTCAACTAGTAATAAAAGTGTCATCTTGATTGTCAATGTACATTTGAACAAGGGAATTGAAAAATGTCAATCTCTACTAGCAACAAGAATGTCATTTTGATTGTCAATGTACACAAAAATCACATCTCTATTGTAGCACGTGATTCGACTTCGACAAGAGTGTGTTAGATAATACACGTTTGTTTCAAACTTTGAATATGAGCATATAAGTCCTAAAATAGAGGGAAAGTAGACAATTCTATGTGACACTCTTGTTAAGTTCAAGTCTTATATAGGGCAACTTCCTAAAGAAAATTGAGAAAAAAGATTATGATTTTACTTGAATATATCAGGTCAAATTTAGATATATCATACTAGATTATAACAGATTTAAACGAATGAGATTGCACTATATCAGACAATAAATACATATGCAGCTCACATTTTTTGGAAAAAGTATGCAACTCACATTGCTCACATTTTTTTTGGAAGAATTCGGCTTTATATTGATAATAGATAATTCAGAGTATGGGTCAAAAGACAAAAAGAAACCTGACAACCGCTATCCCGAGAACCAGACTCGGAATTAATCACCTCCAATGAAGCAATATAATTCACTGATCCAAAAGTGGGAAACTTTAAGCCATAAACGGTCACCATATTCCTCTCATCCCCTACATCCAAAATCAACGTCTTACAAACAGGAACACAAAAAAAAGCAAACCGCAAAGCAGAAATAACAATTTCTAAAACAGCAAACAAAACAAAAATAAAAAACTTCTGATTCAGCCAGAAAACTCGAATCGTCCCTCGAATCGTCCCTCAAAAGTCAGTAGCACTCCTACCACCTGAAACCCTGGACTGCTTTTCTCTATCAGAGCGTCTTTCGTATTGAAATCCAGATCTTCTTCCTCCATCCTAATCACCATGTTTTTGTATATGTATACAGAACACTCCATTGACAGCACAAACCCCTGCAACAAAACGAAGCTTTCGTGGACGCCGCCTTTGACAGACCACGCCGAATCTCCAACGCTCCTCCTTCCACCGTTGACCTCCTCGACCGAAACAAAACTCCAACCAAAGCGAAGCCCCGAAGAGCTCGATAGAAAACCCGCACTCCAAACACAACCACCGACGATGGCCTAGACCTCTTGGGTAGCCGGAGGCGGACAAAGACTAGGCGTTACCCGAAGGTAACCCTAGAGAGGAGAGAAAATCGTTTTTACTCACATTGCTCACATTGATTAAGCAAATATCAAATAAAACTAAAAAAAATCCGAAAATATGTATCATTATGAATAACATTCCAAATCAAATCGAACTAACCCGAGTATACATGTGCTTTCCCTTCTAAAACTGTCTTCCCCACGCAAAAACAAAAAATAATCTCAGAAATAGGGCAACGCTCTGAGAAAGTTTATTTCAATTGTCATGGCGCAACCGGCGATACCCACCTCCCGCGCAACTTCTCCTCCCCTGCCACAGTCGGAGTCTAATAAAGATCCGGCGGGATCGAAAATATTACCCCAAAACCCTGCACGCAATCCTCCGCCGGCACTAACCGAAACTATGCAATCTCAGTCTCAGCAACCTGCGTCAATCCCCTCCAAATCAATCGCTAATCTCCAGAAGCTCTCCACTGCGCTTTCCGCCTTCCAGCGATGCTTCAACGAGCTACAGGGACACATTAGTTCTATTCAGACCGCCATCGACTCCGTAGTGCACCCAGATGCAGCCATCGACTGCGCAGTCCACCCAGAGACGACCATTCTGAAGCCTCAACCGCCACGGGTTAAAAAAGACGAATCTCCTATTGTCCCGTGTAAACAAGCTTCTTCCTCGGTTTCCGTTGAAGAGAACAAATCGAAATCAAGTCGTTCGGAACTAGAAGACCTCTGCCGAACTATGAATAGCCGTGGACTCCGGAAGTATATGGCTTCACAGCTCTCAGAAATTAGTAAACTGAGGGAGGAAGTTCCTAATGCATTGAAGCTTGCCCCCAATGTAGCTCGGCTTGTTTTGGATTGTTCTGGAAGGTTTTTTCTTCAGGGAAGTAAGGCCTTTGCTGATGCAAAATCTCCTATGGTCCCAGCAAGGGAGGCATCTGTGTTGATTCTAGAATGTTTTTTGTTGATGGGGATCGACCAAGGGGTTGAGATTGAGAAAGCTGTGAAGGAAGAGGCAGAACAGGCCGCTGGGGCATGGAGAAAGAGGTTGATCAATGAAGGAGGCCTGGGGAAGGCTTGCAAAATGGACGCTCGCGGTTTGCTATTGCTTGTTGCGGGCTTTGGAATTTCAGGATTGCTTGAATATGAAGATTTTAGGGATTTGTTTCAGGCAAGCAATGCCAATGAAATTAAAATTGCTATTCAGAAATCAAGTTTCCTCATGTCTAAGATTTCTGGTATTGTTTCACCTTTTACTCTCCTTCACAAGTTACATTTTCGAATTCTTCCTTTCTTAAACATTTTCTTTCTTTCTTTCTTTTTATTTCAAAATTTTATCATTTTCATTGCTTTTACTGTGCTTTGTAACTATTTTACATTTATGTGCTTTTAACTAGCTAACTATTATTAGTGTCATTGTGAATTGTGATAGTCTCAAAGTGCTAGTTTAAACTGTGCTGTTATTCAGGGTGTTTTCTTTAATGACAAATTGAGATATAGTCATATAGTGGAGAACTGTCATTAGATACCATGGAAAGGATATAGTTCTGAAGGGTTGGGAAAGATCATATAGAGTAGTAGCTATATAGAGATTAGTAGGAATAGTAGCTGATATTGGAATTTCTATCGTGGAAGATGTAATTACTAATTAGTTTTGTATTCCGAGTCTTCCCTAATTCCCCTAAACAACGCTTAAATAATCCAATTATTGTAAGCTCTAGGCGTTGACTTTTGGAGTTCATCAGTGTGATTGAATAAGGGTAAGAAAATAAAATGTTATTGAATCCAACCTGTGAATAATTAAATATTGAAAAACATGAAACATATTTTGGTACAGATGGAGTTGTTAAGCATCAATATCAAATACCGTGTGGTTATTCAAAAATCCAAAATTCTCATTAATATTCTCCTAAAAAATAGGAGGAAAATCCCTTTTCATAAGGTATTTAATGACGGCGGGGCTATTGACATAAGATGGGGGTACCCGTCTTATCGACATTACAATTGACATTTGGAAATAGTTCATAGTGTGGAACGATGCTATTAATGTGATTTTACAATTGAAGGTCGTTCCATAGTGCATAATGTGGAACAACACTCTTAACATACATAATTAAATAAGGGACCTGCATTATAATATGCAAGAAGAAACGAGAAGAAAACGAAAAGGAGGAAAATTTGGCAAACCTAGAAAGAACCGAAAATGAGACATGCGGAAGGAAAATTCAGTTGACGATTTGAATTTCTCCTTCGACTGGAGTTGGACTGTGTTCTGGCTTTTGAAACTTTCCGGTTTCTTCAACTGGAGTTTGATGGTTCAGTATTACAAAGTTACAAAGGTCGAAGTAAGACTTGGGCTTTTTTATAATACTTCTAAATCTGGCGACGTAATTATGAGCCCTAATTAAATTATCTTCCTAATTTTCGCTTTCTAAATCTATTATTTTGGGCTTGGTTTAGTCGGTTTCTGAACTCTACATCTGGCGTGCCTTTTCGTCTAGACTGCGCCCGGAAGACAACGCAGTCACCTAGTCTTCTTCAGGCAAGGCGACAGAACCTGGTGACCACTCCTCAGCGCCTGGACGCCTAGTCAGCAAATAGGCGACACTGTAAAAACCATGATTAAACATTATAAAAAAAATAAAGTAGACTAATACATAATTTGTATATTCCAGTGCCTACATGAAGTCTTTGGAGGGCACAAGAGAAGAACATCGTACGAGTGACATATAGCCCTATATTGAAGTCTTAAACTATATCTATTAATAGACAATTACTAGTATGCGGAACTGTAGATACAAAGATGCGAGTCTAGCTTACTGTCACTTACAATAGACTCTGTCAAACATTTTTCTTGCTCCAGTCTTGAGCCCACACCTGTTTGCTGGGTTATCTACTCGGTGAGTACTCGGCGAGTACTCGCAACTCGGGTACTGACCTTGTTGAGTAGCTACCTAACTCGATTCGTGTTTTATTTCCGAGTTACTCGCCGAGTACTCGGCGAGTTTCTCAACTCGGTGAAGTTTTCAACTCGGCGAGTTACTCGGTCTAACTCGGCCCCCCTTAAAAAATTGAAAAATTAAGTTACAAAACCTAGATTGAACAGAATTTCTGACATCTACTATCCCCCTAGAGCCGTGACTACAATTTCTCAATAAGTTGTCATCTTTTTTCCCGTATCTTCCCCTCTCCCCTCTCTCGTTTCTTCTTCTTCCACCCTCCCATCCTTCAGTTGATTTTTATTTTAAAGTATCAACACACATATATTTTGATATAAATAAATTCTTTTCACTAGTATGACTATATATATTATACTACGTAACTTTTAATTAATATCACTATATTGTTTACTATGGCATATCATTGATTGATACACACTGTCACACATCATCTAATTAACAATCATGAGTTCTGCTTAGTCTGCTGAGGCTTCTAATGGGGCTGAATATGCTAATACTACACTTGAGAGAAAATCAGATGATGTAGGATGGACTTGGGGAGAGAACAGAGATCTTACGAAATTATTAGATGATCGATTTTCTTGAAAACTTAGAATGTTTATGACTTTTTCTACTCCATCATTAGCATTTCTATCATTTTATTCATTTCTATGCATTTTAAGATAATTTTAAGACTATTATATTTCTATAATCTCTGGCACTTATGTTATTAAATTTAATTAATACAAGGCCGACTAATCGAGTAATCCCGAGTAATCGGCCCTACTCGCTACTCGGTCCTTGACCGAGTTACTACCGAGTAGCGAGTTAACTACCTAGCCTGTTTTGTGATTGTCATTGATGAACTCCCTTGCCGAATTCAATATGACATTTTCTGATGACATTGTTCTTGTGGAGGAAAGCTGTAACAGTTAAGCACGAATGTGGAGATCAACATTAGAATCTAAGGGTTTCATTACTTGCAAGCAGATTAGCCTAAGATGTAGTTATATGGATATTGGAATGTCGATTCAAGAGGCTCATTCGGAGAGGGAGACTGAAATAAAATTAGACAAAGAGATAGTACAAGAAAAAAGAGCATCTATTTGGGTTTTATGGTTCGACACTTCAACAAGATAGGCAACACAGTGGAGATGCTGAGTGTAGGATGGACAAATTGGAACAATGCGTCGTAGTGATAAAAAAACACTGAAGCTCATCATTTTCATCATTTTCATTTACCCCAGTGCTGCAAAGGCTCCCACCTACGGCGGGGTAAGGGGGGGTCGGATGTACGCAATCTTACCCCTGTACTAAAGCACAGAGAGACTGTTTCCGGATGACCCATAGTGAAAATCGCGTCCAAAATTGCATGGACTGACTGCTGCTCCATAACCAAGAAGCGCAGACAGTTTAGTGAGCCATTTTGCTTTATTCCATCATAATCTCAAGCCAAAAAAATGAATCTTTGGCTCCATTGCAAATGATGGAAAAAAAAATACTGAAGCTAAAAGAGCAATTTCATGAGGCAGCGTTTTGGCTTGCATTGCTATATGTTGGGCAGTAAAGTATCAACAATTCAACATGTTCAATTATTCATAGAACTTCAATGAAAGAGATGAGAATGATGAGATAGATGTGTGGCAGAACTAGGAAGGACAAGATTAGGAAATTACAGAGAAAACTGGATTACCCAGATTGGGGTTAAATGAAGGAGAACAAGTTGAGATGGCTTGACCATGTTCAAGCTTCAAAGATGCCCAATGGGACACACCTGTTAGAAGGCGTGTAGGTATAGAAACACAACATATAAGGGAAGAAATGAATACAACTAGAAGAGATGACTCTTGACATAGAAAGATGGTGCTGCTTGATCATTGTAGCTAATCTGACCGCAATGTCAGAAACATGGTTTAGAAAGGCACGCGACTACGCAAGGTGTATGCCTTGAGGTGCGCCTCAGTGCGTAATGGCACTATGGCAGAAAATCGCCTTGAGGCTTAAGCCTCTCTGCTATGTCAAGATTTTTACGCCTTGAGTGTTTGAGGCGTAAGTTCCGAAGCGTAGCCTCTTGATGCGTCGCAGGCCTAATGCCTTTTCTTTTCCAGAAAGAGCCTATATTTTAGAACTGCTTACAAGTGCTTCTCAACTCTTGTTTTTTAGAATGAGAAACATGTAAATGGTTGTATGTGGATGTTTGTGCCCTGTATTTCTGTATGAAAAAATGGTTATATCCTGGGGTGCTACTTGACTCCATTTTTAGTGATAGGTTGTTGCTCAGATTCAGAAGTATAATGGAACAAGCAATAGTGTAATTAGGGCCATGCAGTCACTGTGTGAATGCATGGTATACTTGGGCAGTGTTTTCATTTTTTATTTCTTTGAATTTGAAATTTGGCTTTTCAGATACTGATGCTGATGGGATCATATGATGATCTTAATGGGTCCAGATTATGATAGGAACCAATCTTCATAGTAAACAGTCAAGCGACGTACAATAGCGGAAAACAGAAAGAAAGAGAAGAAAATACAGATTGAGGATCTTAGAGAGGCCTCACTCTCCCAGTTCCCAGCCCAAGTTCCCCTCCCCTTATTCTACTCTCAGCTCCTATTTATAATACTTTCCTTACGGGCCGGCTTATAACTAAATAACACACTATGTAACATTATTCTATTATTCTTATTTTTATTCTCTTTAGCCCCTGATCCTATCTTATATTCTTATCTTCCCCCTTAGACAACCACCTTGTCCTCAAGGTGGGTGATAGGAAACCGCCTTGACCCTTAGCTTCATCTTTGCGCCTCTTCCTTCCTAGTACATCCCTGATTTCTGGACCTTTAGCTTCAGTATTTGAATCTTCAAAATCACAGCTGTTTCGGCAGCAGAGGGTGTATCTATTGACATTCCGTTCTCTTCAGTAGCCTTCAAGCCTTCAATAGCAACATATGTATCTTTGCTTTCCTGAGGTGTACTACCTACACCTGTTTTTGCAGCAGCGCCAAATACAGGAACATAGTTGTGATCAACTGTTAACACATCATTCTTCTTGATGTCCCTTACTGCATCAATTACCTCACCAGTGGCACAATTTGTGTTCATGTCCTGAACCTTCGCATTCTCATCCTCTTTAATCTGCACATCAGAAAATACTGAGCTAAACAATGCTTCAACTTCTTTTGACAGTTCACCTGTTGAGCTAGGATTGACAGTAACTCCTAACATTCTCATATTTCGCACTCCTGGAACCTCAGTGTCTTCCTGTAGCCCAATCTCAACATTGTGGGGAAGATTTTGATCATGTGAAGCATTCGGATTATTACCATTTTCAGAAGTTACCGGCTGAACTCTACCCTCAACCGAGTTGAAGAGTGCCATAGAACCTTGAGAATCTGCGCGTCCCACAGAAACAGGAACTGCAGTTACGCCAAATTCAGCGGTCACTGACGAATTCTCCTCGCTTTCATCATTGCCCTCAGTGAACTTCTCTGCACTGGGCGATGAAGTTCGCAAAGTGTAAGAATCGGCCCGTTATGAAGTCTGAAAAGTGGAGACATCTGCTCAGGGTGAAGATTGCAAGTGTGAGAATCCGCTGGTGATGACACCTGCGAACTGGGAGAATATGATAGCGATGGACTCTGCGACCTGTGAAAAGCTGTACGCGACGGGGCCGCCGAACTGCAGAATTCTGTTCGCGGTGAAGTTTGCAAACTGGAAGAAGATGTTGCCGAGAAAACCTGCAAACAACAGAGAGAAATGGCTTGCGATGAAGACAGCGAACAGTGAGAATAATGAGGAACGGCTAGTGTTGAACGCGTTGAGCCCTGGGGCGATCGTCCTCTGGTTCTCCAGTGATATTTCTGCAAGAGTAAGGTCGGGCATCTCTTCTATGCGCCGATCCCGATTCAGCATTAAACTTCACATCTCTTCCACCTCCTTTCTCATATCTTCCAAGTTTCGTTCGACCTTTCCATCGGCTTCTTCATCTGCGAGACTGCGACTGTGTACAATTCATTCTCCTTTGCAGGCTCGACTGCTATGATACCAAATGAGAGGAACCAATCTTCACAGTAAACAGTAAACCAACGTACAATAGCAGAAAACAGAAAAAAAGAGAAGAAAGTACAGATTGAGACTCTTAGAGAGGCCTCACTCTCCCAGTTCCCAGTCCAAGTCCCATGTTCCCCTCCTCTTATTCTACTCTTAGCTCCTATTTATAATATTTTCCTTACGGGCCAGCCCATAACTAAATTATACCAGGCCTGGACCCCCTAAAACATAATAACACACAATGTAACATTATTCTATTATTATTCTCTTTAGCCCCGGATCCTATTAGCAGACCATATATTCCACATCATTTGTGCCAATTGTAAAATAACCAAAAAGACAAACTAGAAAATACCAAAAAGACGGAATGAGCATTAGGGCGGCTAGGATTACAATACAATACTATGAAATGTACTTGAACAAAATATTTAATTTCTTGCACTTAAATTAATCATAATCAAGTCATGCTTGCTGAACTTTTTTATCAAATAAGCGTCATAGAATATTTTGCGGAGAACAATTTTTCCTTACAAACAACCATAATGTCCAAGGAAATCATATTCTGTTCTATTAATCCTAAAGTCTAAGAAATTCACCCTTCATTCTATTTCATTGTTTTTCATCATCCATTAGATTTCAGGTAAATGTAAATAAATAGTAAATTATTTGTAGATATCACAATACCGCCTTAATAAATAGTAAATTATTTGTGTTATAATGAATAAATAAACTTAACTTTAAAGTCACAGATGTAAATGTATAGTGTTCTGTGCAAGACAACTCATATCTTAAGCTTTTAATGGTTTTCATATTTTTTCCGCCATCTCATTTTGAATTGTTGTGCCTTTTGTGCTTAATAATTATGCAAATTACACTGAGGAGCAAAGTTTGAGCTCAACATAATGGATCTAGACTTGTTAGTTAAATACGGTACGGGAATTAAACGAGGTTTAATACGTACGCGTTTTATTCGGTAACATTAATGAAAAAACGGTCAAAAAATTGTTCAAAAAAATGTTGACTTTTAAAAAACGTGTTAATACGTATACGTGTATAATACGGTATCTGTTACAAAAATTCGGACAAAAAAATACGGGTACTATTTTGAACATTTAAATTATATACTTCACAAAATAACATATATAGTAAAAAGAAATAAAAGTTTACACATATTCAAGTTGCAAATCTCATTACTACATAAAAGAATAATTCTTAATTGCATAAGTCGATGATAAAAATAAAAATAGTAATCAAGTCCAAGACATGATTTTGTAAACAAATGTGACATAAAATATAGATTAAGCCTAAGTTAAAATGTTTATCTTTATATGATCATCAAATAACACTCAATTTAAATTCATCATTTTCATCAACATGACGGATGACATATGCGACTGCTACGCACGCTTCTTATTATTTATGTGTAAAAGTTTATACTAAAAAAAAATCAGGTTTAGAATAACTTTAAGTTTTAGTCTTTAAGAATGTTAGCTTTAGCCTCCATGCAATTCATTTTAGTATTTAATAATTGTATTTTAGCAATACAAAAACATGAGGTCACATGGAAGAGCTTTTCTTTTTTTCTTTTAAATTATTGTTGATCCCCTATATAATGATTTAATGTGTTCATTCAATTCATCAATTCATGTTTTTATTTTCCGTAAATTAAGGGATGCAAGCTTAAGCCGTCGTGCAATTAATTTTTGTATTTAATAATTGTATTGTATTTATTAATTTTTGGTTTTACACTATTGTTGATCTCATATGCATTTAATGTGTTTATTCAATTGATCAATTAATGTTTCTATTTTTAGTAAAATACGGGAAAAATACGTTTTATACGGGAAGTAGGAGTTTTTTTCCCTTTTAAACAGACCGACATTATTTTTCGTTTTAAACGTGTTTTTTTGTTCAAAAAAAAAAAACGGTACGCGTTTAAAACGGAAAAAAGCTAACTAGGGTTAATTATATTGGGGACCTAAACACCTTTACATGGACACACATAAACTCGCCCTTCTTTTCCTATAGTCTCTCTCATCGTGGAAAGAAAGATGTCAGTGGGTGTCATCGATAACTTTGACAGATCACATTCACGTTTTATCATTTAGCCAATATAGAATCATCATTTTCTTATCTTTCTTTTTCTTTTGGCTTCGATATCATGTATCAATTCATGTTAGCCAACCCCAATATCTTTTGGGACTAAGGCTTGGATGTTGTTGTTGTTGTTGAATCATAATTTTCTTCGTCTAGTTGTTTCATAATTAATTTGCTCACATGAATGTATCTTTGTCCAGGTTTATTGGTTTATGTCTTGTTCCCCTTCCCTCCACATTCCTTCTACTTCTCCGTATTTTGTTCTTCTCCACTGGGGTTGTGCTAGGATAGGTGTTTTCATGAGCAATATTACCCTCGGGAGTCTGACGGAGCGGATTTTCCTAGCAAAATGAGCGGATTTTTTTTCCTTCAGGGATTCTAACAACTTTATGCACACAGTTTGATTGACTGCCTTTCTTCCTTGATTAATATTTTACAGAAGTGATTGATTGGATGGTGAAGAATAAGATGGAAGTTGATGCTGCCAACCTTGCCTACACTTGTGGACTGGAAAAGCAGATTAATCCTCAAAAACTCTTGATTTCATTTTTACGGGAATCTAAAGATTCTTATAACAAGAGAAAAGTAACAGCAAAGGGTTCCCCCTCAGCAATGGTTAGTTTCTGTCTGTTTGGTACTTAGGGGTTTCATCCTTTCCTTTTCAAAACAATTCATCAATACTGTCTTGCAGATGGATTCAAATAAGAAGCAATTGTCTGCTCTGAAGTCGGTTCTCAAGTGCTTGGAAGGTCACAAGGTTGACCCAGCAAAACTTCTTCCTGGATGGCAAATCAATGAGATGATCGCAGGCGTGGAGAAAGAAATCACTGAGCTAAACAAGATAACAACAGTCCAAAAGAGAAGAGCTGATGAACCTGCCAAGCCAACTGCAAAGTTGAAAAACCACAACGTCAAACGCTCACGTGTAGATGATGGCATTCCAAAAAGCCACTTGCACAGTTATTATGTATCCCCAACCACATACCCCGCTGGCGGTCATGGATCGATGACCGATAATATGATCGGAGGTGTGCTCACAGGTGGACCAGGTGCTGGTGGTGTATCATCCATTACAAATTCCTTAATGCACAGCGGTGGGCCCTACGCTGGGTCTGCTGACATGACCGACTACAACACTCAGCAGAGATATCAGCTGCGTAGTGATAGTGCTGCTGGCCTGTATGAGAGAATTGGCGGTAGCTCCCAGAGCTATGCGTATGTGCCCTCCTCCTTGGAAAGCTCTTTAGCATTAAGAAGCGCTGCCTCTGCAGGTAGGAACACAACTTCTGACCATTATCCATCCTCATTGGAAAGCTCTATAGCATTAAGAAACACTGCCCCTGCAGGTAGGAAGACTACATCTCACCATTATCAGTATGCTGATGTGGCGGCATTGGAAATGGATGCTTACCATGGAATCAGTGCACGTTCTGCCAGTGGTTTGTCCACTGCTGTTCCTTCTCACCACCATACATCCTATATGTTCTGAACTTCCTTTTTGGAACTTATTTATATTTTCTTGAAGTGTTGTAGCATATCCAGTGTATCAGGGGCCTAGTGTTCAGCTGAACTCTTCAAGACTTGAAATTGACAATTACAATGTTGAGCCTAAGTTGCTAGGTGACATTTTGCATTTCTTTGTTATTTAGGACACACCCTGAACAAAATAGATGAAGTTCCTAGGCCTTGAGCGCAAGACAACCAAATTTGATATCAATGAAGACACTATTATAAATTACATGGACTTTCACGACAGATCATATGAATGGTAGGTACAGTGCACTCAATTATTAGAGAGGTATTGTATCATGCATCATTCATCTCATTTGTGTCATATTTACATGAATTTATCCTAAAAATATAAATATTTATTAGATCTGTTTTTCGTATTTAGAATATTTCTATTGATTGATAAACGTAAACTTTATATGTTAAAGATTAATATAGGAAATAAGAAAATTATTACGTAGTAGGGGTTTGGTTGATCTAATACTCTAATAGGAATACTAAAAGTTACAAACAAAACAGGGCAGGGGGTAATTAAAGATAAATTTGAACAGGTTTATTGTGTTTGATTTGATATTTTATGCTCTTGAAGATTTGCTCGTCTCTCGAACTTTTCTCATTTTTTCTTCCCCTAATGTTTTTCATGCTCTTATCGAGCGGCAAGGGTAAGTTGGATTTAGGAAAAGGCTTTTGAAACAGAAATCGCAAGTGAAATTTTATTTTATTTAGCCATGAAAATGTGAAACTAAAATGAATTATGATAAACAAAACAAATAACTAAAGATTGACAAAATGAACTTACATTAAAAAAAATGAACTTACATTCTGTACCATTTTTGTTTCCTTTTTATTTTCACCGTATTTGATTTTTGAAGTGTTTTTCAAGTTCCGATTGGCTACTCAGAGAAAAAATTAGTATTTACACGTTAACCCATATATAAAGAAATTTGCTCCTAGTAGGACCAAATCACGGCTCTTTTACAAAATAATACCTACTAATATTTTTTCCATTCATATTACCTATTTAGTTCTAGATTAGAAAATCTATTTCTAACTTTCCAAATTTGTCCTTCAAAGAGTTCAAATGGGTAGCTGAAGAAAAGGAACGCCGCCGCCGCCACAGGCTTGCTAGTCAGACTGTCGACAAGGCAGCAGATGGTGCTTTCGAAGCTGCGGCAGCGGCCACGGTCGACGGAAGCAGCGACTCTGATTGTGGAATTGTGGATCTGGAATCACACCTCCATCTCTCTTCTTCGTCACACCTCCATCTTCGTCGGAATCGTCGCACCTCCGTCTTCACCGGAATCGCTGCAATTAGGGCGGCGGCGCACCAGACCCTTCTTATTCTCCCCTTCTCCTTGCGGGTCGGAGCATTAGACTGATTGCTTTCCAGAATTTATTGTTTATTTATTGTCTACTTATTGTCTATTTATTATCTATTTAATGTCTGTTATTTTCTAAAAGTAAGGGTATTGTGGTCAATGCAGGTGTAGTTGAGTCTTACGCTAATCTTCGGTCTTAGTTTTGGAAAATTCGTACGTTTTGCTCCTACTTGTTGAAATCTCCCCTCATATATAATGATCTGAAGTCTAGTTTAGAATTAATATTTTGGTTTTCAAACGGATATAAAATGCTACTTTACTATGTGAACATACATTGTCCACAAACGACATTCTTTTTCAATTTCTAGAAATAGGAAGTATAAGAACGTTTATAACTATGGAAGTTATAACGTTTGGTATTATCTGTTTAAGTCTCATATGATCTGTTAAGTATAGGGGTGGACCGAATCGGCCCGTGAACTGGACCGACCCGGTACTGTGCGGGCTTGGACCAGACCAGGATCGGATGGCCGGTTCCGGACTTTAGCCCGGGTTGGGCGGTCCTGGCGGGCCGGGCTCGGGCCATGTTTTTCTTGAACCGACCTGGGTGGTCCGGGCTGGGCTCGGTTCATTTTTTTTTTCATTTTTTTTCTTTTTCTTGGGTAGGGCTGGGTGTTTTGGGGTGGTTTGAGGGATAGGGGGTGGGGGGGGGGGGGGGGTCGGGGGTTAATTAGAAAGCAAAAAAAATATACATTGGATCGGCCCGGACTGGTCCGCATGGTTTGGCCCGGACCCGGTATCAACTCGGGTCGGTTCCGGGCCCAGCATCTGGAAAAAAAAAGCCCGGCTTGAATTGGCTTGGTCAGGCCCGGTCCATGCCTAGTTAAGTATGATTGAGATTGAAAACAATCCAAGCAAAAACATCTAAACAATGAATCCCAATGAGAAAATTTTCCAAATTTAGCACATCTCATCATAAGCCACATGCAAAGCCACCAGTATTGCTATTTTTTCCAAAATACTGAATCATTCACTCATTCCTATAGAATTTAAAGAAGTTTAATTTAACTAATTTACTATGCTTAAACTTTAAATGCTAAACTAAGGGAAACATTTTTTTTTTTGCGAGGAAAGAAGACTTTTTTTAGTATAGAATAAGAACCCATAATTCATGCCCCTCCCGTTTCGGATATGAATAATTGGAAACAATAAAGGGACATCCAAAAATGAAAAAATGGGACAATTATAGAGGGACGGAGAGAGTAATTCAATACACTCCACACTCATAAGCACATGAAATTCACCGCATTGACTCTCACTCTCCCCAGCAGCTTTCCGCGTCTTCGCCTGATCGAGGCTAGCTGCAAGTTTGCAAGGGGTTATGTAATAAAACTAGTATATTACCCGTGCGATGCACGGGATATTAAATTTGTCAATTTATAATTATTATTGTTCTATAAAAATGAATTTAAATAAAGGATCTCTAGTAAATGAAGGAATCAAGAGAAATATAAACTCTCATTGTCCATATTTCAAAATTCCTCTTTGATCATTTTTAAAGTGTGTTAACTTTGAGATATACTTAATTGTGTCATTACTAAATTAGTATGTGAAAGTACATTATAATTTGGTTTGGTATTTATTATTTAATTTAACAATTTATTACATACTTCTTATGTGAAAGTTAGCTCCGGCTGCTTTGTTAATATTATATCAATAAATACTTCTTACATACATAGTAATACGTGTTACATAAAAAAATAACACCACCTCCCTTAGTATTTAGTTCCTTCAGAAACGGTGGGACAATTATCTAGAAAATGTAAATTAAATTTTATCAATATGGATAAAATTTTACATTTCATATGATTTTTCTTTCTTCCGTAGAAATATCAATATACTCTATATATGATACTAAGTACGTAGTATATCTTAGCTGTCTTATTCCATATAAAAAACATAATAAGTGATATATATATATATATATATATATCACTTATTAAAGAGTAAATCATATTATATTTCAAAAAGGAATAAGAGCAAGCATACTAAAAGCTTCAATTGAAATTGCAAGAGCAGCAGCGTCAACATCATCCTTCAATCCCCCACCACCAGTTTAAACACGATGAAATGAATATATCAAGAATAAGAGAAGTGGCCATGGATATATGAAGTTATGCTTCAATGCTTGATTAAAGCACACACAACAAATGATGAATTGTTCTGAAATGAAGTTGATTATAGCAAGGTCAGAATCACAACATTTTTTATGGGTGTTATAGGTGTGAGAATAATGGAACAAGATGCTCTCTAAGGAGCCCTGACAGATATATTTATAATATGAGAGTGTAATGTAAAGTACAATACTAATAGTCTAATAATTCTATTACATCCCCTCAAGTTGTGCGGGAGAAACAACGCGCAAGTTGTCTTTCAAAAAATGAAAACGCTGAGTAGGTAGACTCTTAGTAAAAATATCTGCCAACTGTAGATGTGTAGGAACATGCTGAACGATCAGATCTACATGGGTAACACGTTCGCGAACAAAATGATAATCAATCTGAATATACTTACTCCGAGCATGCTGGATAGGATTTGCAGTCAGATAGGAAGCTGAAATATTATCACATAATAGATGCACAGGTTCCGTGATGGGGTAGCCGAGCTCAAAGAGAACAGATCTGATGTGGAGTGTATCCTGAACGGTGTATGCAATAGCATGATATTCTGCCTCCATGGATGACTTTGAGATGGCGGGCCGCTTCTTGGACTTCCAAGAAATTAAATTAGGACCCAAAAAGACAGCAAAGCCAGTAGTAGATCGTGAGCTATCAGGACATCCAGCCCAGTCTGCATCAGAATAGGCAACAACACATGTGGGTCGAGTAGAATGCGGTAGGCACAACCCATGATCACGTGTCCCTTGCAAATACCTGAAAATTCTTTTGACTGCAAGTAGATGAGTAGTACGGGGCATGCATGAACTGAGAAACTAAGTGTACTGCATAAGTAATATCTGGTCTTGTCAAAGTTAAATATTGTAACGCACCTACCATGATGCGATACTCAGTAGAGTCCGTCAGTAACTCACCATCAGAAAGAGACAGAGTAGTACGAGAAGCTAATGGTGTGCGAACGGGTTTAACCGTATGGAGATGAAAACGTGGTATTAGATCATAGACATATTTGTGTTGAGAGAGAAACAGACCTTTAGGAGAACGAATTGCCTCAAGACCCAAGAAATAATGGAGATTACCCAAATCCTTCATGGCAAAGTGTTTAGAAATAACTGATATAAACTGGGTAATGGTAGACTCAGAATTGTCTGTAATAATAATATCATCTACATATAATAATAAATAAATGATAGAATTATTATGGCGAAAAATAAATAATGAATTGTCAGATTTACTACAGGTAAAATTATGCTGTAGTAAAAAGCTACTAAACTGATGAAACCAAGCCCGTGGTGCTTGCTTCAGACCATAAATGGCCTTGCGCAAACGACATATATGATTAGGAAAGTGAGGATGAATAAATCCACGGGGCTGACGCATATAGACTTCTTCTGTCAGGTGACCATGTAACAAGGCATTTTTAACATCAAGTTGTTGAATAACCCAACCAAAAGATACAGCTAATGTAAGAACAATACGAACAGTGGTGAGTTTAATGACAGGACTAAAAGTTTCAAAAAAATCAATACCAGCCTGTTGATTAAACCCCTGAGCAACTAATCTAGCTTTATGGTGCTCCACTGAGCCATCAGAATGATATTTGATTTTATGAATCCACTTACATCCAACAATATTCTTAGTATTGTTAAAGGGCACCAGATCCCAAGTATTATTGTTAATGAGTGCATTAAATTCATCAGTCATTGCTTCTTGCCATTTTAAATGTTTAATAGCCTCAATAAAACAGGTGGGATCCGCACGAA